TTGCCTGCCAGGGCTGGGAAAGTTTCTGGGCTGGTCGCGCCAAACTTTCGGTGTCTGGCGCAACTTCGTGCAAGGCGCGGGGGCTTCGGGACAGGGAAGCAGTGGGTTGGTTGGCGCCACTTGTGCTTGGCGTGAGCTGGTTGTGTTCAGGGTTGCCTCAAAAAATGGGCGAGGTGGCTTGCCGAGGTGCTGAGGCTGTTGTTGAGGAGGCCTTGTGGCCTCCTTCGCATCGGGTGCGCGGGAAGTCGGGGGCACCTTGAACAAGGGAGGTTGCCGCGAGGAAGGTGCGCGTACAAGAGGATGAGGACGAGTCGTGGTTCTGTTGCGCGATACGGTCGTGTGGGGAAAAGGGGATTGACTTGCTGAGCTGGGTTCACTACAACCAGGGCCAACTTCTGGCCAGCAAGGAACGCGTGCTTCTGCGTGACCTGTTGAACAGGTGCTTCGCAGCAGGACGGCTTGAGGAGTTCTTACTCAGGGGCGGTCGCGGTTGAAAGCAGTCATTGCGGCCGGAACGGAGGAGCAACAGGTGACAAACTAGGGCAGGAAGTCAGGCAGGACCCGGACAAGCGGAGAAGCTCAGCCAAAAGCGAGGTGACCAGTTTGTTTGAAACTGGTGCCACCCAGGCCGTTTCAGCCGAGGACCAAGCGCGCGTGCACCGTGCCCGCAATCCCAGACAAGACCCTCTTCAGCACCAGACATGCGACGCAAGACACGAGCCATTGCTTGTGGCAGCTTTGAGCATAGACAAGGACTCAACGCAAGGGGGTTATGAGGTGTACTCTTCCAGTGTAGAAATCGGCACAATCCGCACGCCGTTTGCTTGTGGGGAGCTGCTTCGAGCTCGTCGCTGCAGGTGGCGGGCGTCAGCTCAAGCCGCTGCGGAGTTGGACCGTGACCAGTACTACTCCAACCAGGAGCACGACCAGTCAACAACTCAAGGTCACGGAGAGGAAGGACCTGACCTCAAGAAGCACAAGCTGCGCTGTTGAAGCTCAGAGAACCTGGTCAGAAGCTCGGCGAGCCACGGCTGCGACGCGTCAACAGCCACCTCGCGGAGGCTCTGCTCGCAAGGCTGCTTCCGCTGCGATGGCAATCACCTTTCTTGAGGCTGCCCAGATTGATCTCATCCTGGCTTCAAGAGCAACGGGCACGGCAAGTTTGTGCACCTTGCTGATGAGATTGATTTTTTTTGAGGCGTGGCAAGTTTGTGCACTTTGCTGAAGAGCTTGATTATTTCGAGGCGTGGCAACTTTGTGCGCTTTGCTGGTGAGATAGATTATTTCGAGGACTACTGCGCACACCGGTCAACACCTATGCCTCTAAGATGCTGAAGAATGGGTTGGGGTTTCGCAGCATGCTGAGATGAACTCCAACAGCGCCGGCTCCAATCAAGGAGCGGCAGGCAAGGGCTGGCCCAAGAGGAGCAGTGAAGGGACTGATTGAGTCGGTCGAAAAGCACATGCGACCGTGCTTCAGATTCGGAAATATGCCCAGGCCAATTCCGGAGTTTTTCAAGACAAGAGCTCCCTGGACTACCTGTTGGGTAAGCGTTCTGCAAGGGTTATGGACTTCTCAACTCATTTGGCAATGAAACTCTTTCGCTTGCTGGCGCAAGAACCCTGCCAGCTATGACGCAGCCAAGTGGACGGCGCCTGGGCTTTGCAAGAAGCAACAGTTCTGGATCTAGCTAGTAGACTTCCGTTGGTTCTGCCGCTGCTGGAGCTCTATGAACTCTTCGTCATGAAGACAGAGAATTCCGAGCATGTCACCAAGGCCTCGCAGAAGGTTGGATTCGGCACTTTTCGCCGACAACGCGAAGTCCTTCACCTCGGATCGGTTCTCCGCATTCTGTCGCTCCATTGCCGAGAAGGATCCAACTTGAGGCCCGACCTTGGCACTGATGGCGTCCACGCGTTTGCGCGGAGGATGTGCTCCGCAACCAGTTCGCCTTGGATGATACAGATCCGCGCCGTTTAGCCCGCCCCAGAGCAACTGCGCCCTCAGGCACCTCGGCATCGTTGCTGCCAGTCGCCTTGCGCATGTACGCCAGCTGATGACGCGCACGGGGCTGATCTTGCCGTTGCCGTGACAACCTATCACGAGTTGCTCTGTGTGGCGGCTAGCTTCAGACTACGATTTGGCCGACACCTTAACAAGGAAGCGTGCTGAGAGCAGGACTGGCCTGGAATGGTTTTTCCAGCTCGTTTCAGCCAAGCGCAACAAGAAGTTGAGCGCGTCTGCGCTCTTGCAGATGAGGCGAAGTCAGTGCCTGTGACTTTTGTCCCTGACACAACTCCTGAAACTTGGTCAGTTGAACACTACGGTGCATGCGTGTGTTCAAACGAGGCCCCTTTTATCGCTGATCCATCAGCACGGAACAGCTCACGCCGGCGCCGTTGTGTGGAAAGCAGGTCACTGCAGCAAACCAGAGTCTATTTACCACGCCTGACTGCCTCCGACCCCCCAGCACTATTCCTCCTGGGCTCAGACAAAAGAAGTGTGAAAGGTCGAATTTTGCGCCCCGCAAATGTATCGGAAAATCAGGCTCGGGGCGGTTGGGATGGTCGGGATGGCTGGAGTGCTAGGGGGTCCGGGAGGGCTAGCGCGTTCGAAAGTTGCGAGGTGCAAAATTTGCCAGGGCCAGTTCCAGGGCCAAGAAGGCTGGGGCTGGCCCTGCAAGTTTTGGGGAATCCACATCTTGGGGAAGCGAGGTGTTTCCCGTGTGGCGCATAGTTGAATAGTTGCAAACCATGGGTGTGAGCACATGCTAGCAGCAGGAGGGGTCGGCGGATTTTTTGACAGCTCGGATCAGCTTGGATTGGCGGAGGGTTGGAAGTAGGTGGTTTGCTGCGTAGAGTTGGTTCCAAAAGCGCGCAGATGTGACTGGCGCTGGTGTTTGTATTTTGCGGGGCTTCGCGGCCTTCCTCACACTCAATGTAAATGCTTTAGAATTCACATTACCAACACATGCTGGCTATGCTTAGCTGTGCGCAAGCATCAATCTAGCAGGCTGTTCTTGCCGTGGACGTTTTAGATTGTTGGCCTCTGTGAATCTATGGGTGCTGCGCTTTATGAAGGCTCAACCGGGAGATGTGGATGTGATCTGAGGTGGTGAATGTGTGCGCCAACAACCACCAATGGCAGCAAGCCCTGGAAGTGCTCTCAGACATGGGCCTGCAGCGTTTGTGGCTTGGCTTGGCCATGGAAGTGGCCCAGTTTCCGCGCTGGGCGCGATAGATACGTGGTTTGCGCCCATCAACCACGCAGGCCACCCCTTGTTTTGGTGCTTCTCATTTCTCCCAAACATGCCCAAACCAGCGCCCACTTGGATGGGCAGCCTACTCGCTATGCAACTGGCGAACTTAAGCCACTTGCAAGTTGAGTCAGTAAGTCTGCTAAGTCTGACTTAGCGGACTTACATCCTGGCTTGAGTCAATAAGTCTGCTAAGTCTGACTTAGCGGACTTACATCCTGGCTAAGTCCACTTGGCGGGTTAGAGGACTTAGCTAAGTAGATGCTGAGCAGTTCTTAGTTAGCTAGGTCCTCTAACTCAAGTGGACCTAGCCAGGTTGTAAGTCCGCAAAGTCAGATTCAGCGGACTTACTAACTCAAGTTAGGCAACTTGCAAGTGGCTTAGCAAGCCGCTTAGGTTCGCCAACTACATAGCAAGTAGCCCGCCCATCCAAGCAGAAATGGTGCGAAAGTCAGCGCTGCCAGCAATTCCTCCGTCGCCGCTGCGTCAGCGCGAGAGATGCCTGAAAAGAAGCTGCCAGCCTAGTGTGGTGCGACGCCAAAGACCTCACACTCGTCCAGCGCTTGGACGCGTTGCTCCCGTCGCCAGCGTCGCCAGCGTTGGCCACTACCAGCTCCCTAGAAACAGAGCTACAAATTAGTTGAAGGAGTGCGCCAAGTTGTTGATGCTGCAGCTTTTGCGGCCAGGCAGCAACATGGATGGGCGTGTCGTGGGACACGGGGGCCGAATTGCAGAAACATCTACTGTAGGACGTGCGTCAGAGCTCAGTCGTGTAATAAGCAGACACGATACAACATGGCTTCGGGAAGTCACAAAGAAGGCAATTGTGCACGCTTCACGTTCCCCACCTCGACCCAGCCCGGCACACAGCGATTGCGGCTCGGAAAGCAAGCGCTGCTTGCTATGGACAGGTTCTGGTGCTGTTGGACCAGCAAATGTCAAGGGCCGAAGTTGCGCAGAAATCTCTGAGAGTCAAGGCCGCTTGGTGCGCAAGCCACATTGGCCTGGCGTCGGTCTTTCGTTTTCTACCACCACTACCCACAGCGAAAACAAGAATGACAACCACCAGGGTAGCTGGGAATCCAGTTCTCTCAAAGAAGCCTGGCCATCTTGGGAGCTCGGCTCAGCTGTGTCCAGCCTGCCCCGAGACCCTAGCCCGGCCTTGCGATTAAGTCGCTTAGTTTCATCCCGCAATCGCAAGCCGACGGGGTAGGGGGGTTAGGCGGAGCGCTATGACCACGCGCAACAGCCTCCTGGGCGCCTGCGGCCGTGGTAGCACATGGAGCGCTGCGCTGGCGATCCTCGTTTGTCAAGAGGCCAGCCGCGGGGGTGGGGGTGCGGGGTTAATTAACTTGATTCTGTTTTCTTCCCCCACCCGCCAACATGAGCTTCATCGAATTTCAGATGGCAATCGCCCGCTCGGCTTGTATTCGCATAAAGCGAGCACCGAACTGCCCGTCAGCGCCTTTCAGGTAGATGCGTTCGGCTATAATGCGGTGCTCACTGCCTGTGTCAAATCCAGACAGTGGCAGCAGGGTATCCAGGCCGAAGGAGTGACATCCCGTTGACAGAGTCGCAAGATTTCTGGTGTTTGGGTGGTCAGGGTCAATGAGGCAGAAGAGGCCAAGGCAAGTCGAGGCGTCGCAAGTCGCAAGCTCATGGTGGGGTCCCCGCTAATGTTTGTGCTGAATTTGTAAAAGCGCCCGCCGCAGTCTTGGAATGCGTCAGGTCTTTGAGGCGATGGACGTTCCACACGATGGCATCTCCTATGAGCTGGGCGTCAGTGCCTGTAGCAAAGGGGTGCAATGGTACCAATGTCTACAGTTGATCTCCACCATGAAGGATATTCGGCTGCAGCCCAGCGCCATGACATGCAGCGTGGCCTTAAGCATGTGCGCCGTGGTTGCACAGACCTTCTTCAAAAGCACTTAACTTACTCCAGCCAAGGCATTTGAGTCCTAGATTTTCTCTGCTTTAAGAGGCATGCGCTGATCGGGTTGCCGCGCGACTGAGGCCAAAAGTTTTCAAGGTGGCAGGAGGCCTTGGATCTTCTTGAGGGAGACAACGTCATCTTGAATTGCTGCTTTGCTTCACGGGTGGGTGGAAGACATCGCAAGTCATCCCGCGTTCGGCTGGGGCATCTGTGTGAAAGTGCTAGCACGCCCAAACAGCCTGCGTGCCATGGAAATCAGCAAGCGCGTCGTGCAGTTTTAGAGGCTCTGAACTGAGGAGAAACACATTGCGGCGATTCGAAGCGTGGAATTCCCATTGTGGCGATTGCAGTCAGCTGCTTCGCGCAGTTCCAAAGCTTCACAGTGCTACCTCACATCGTGGTTCTGTAGCTTTCCTTAGTGAATCTGTTGCGTTACACGTGGCAGGGCTTATTTGTTCCACATGTTGCGTTTCCTTGCTTCCGCTGGTTTGGCATGCATCGTTGCAACGCCTTTCATTGCCACTTTCGGTCTGTAACAAATGCTCAATGTAGCGTTTGTTCGTCGCATTTTTGCGCGGGTTTGCTTTGCTTGGCATTGTGCTATCCTCCGCATCGCTCTGCTTCATTTGTTCTTTGCTTGTGCCTTGCGGCGGGCCTGAGACATGCACTTTCTCAGCCAGAGCTTACCAACATGTCAATCCGAGCAGCGGAGTACATCCAGTAAACGATCTGCGCATGGGCTGATTGCAGCCTGAAAAACAGCCAGCGTCTGGTGAACAAACAGAAGGAACAAGTTTGAGGATTTCTGCACGCTGCCGCGCTGCTGCACGTGGCCAGCTTCCACTCTGGTCATGTGCCTGTGGCTCAAAGTTCGCTGACCGCCAAGCTCCCAGAACCTCCCAAACAACATCTTTTCCACAAGATTTCATGGGCCCAAAGCCAGCTCTTCGGCTGAGGCAAGGCGCTCAGCGCCTTGTCCCGCGGGCTGCAGTGGCAGCAGGCTGTGGCACTCTTCTCGTCCATGCGAGAGCGCCAGGCAGGGTCCGGGGCGCTGGATTTCATTCTTTTGCCTCTTCCCTCACGGATCGCATGCGGTAAAAGGTGTGCTTCGTTTTTCAGTACATGGTCAGCCCCAATCGGGAGGCGCCACCCAGCCACCACGAACATCCAATTCCCATACGGTCGATCGGTGTGTTCAGCAAACCGTTTTAAGTGTTTGATAGGGGATAAGAAATGGTGGTATTCATGGTTCCGGCTATCCGGGGTTTTGCTTTGCATCTAGGGTTTTGCTTTATCAACAAAAGCAGCGTCTCAGTGACTGCTGCTCTGGCCACACAGATGAGTGGCGCTTGCACGCGTGCCAATGCATTGCGCTGCAAGTCCCACGGTGGGAAAATCTTGAGGATTACAGCTCTGCGGGGATGACGCAACTGATTCAGAATATCGCGCCAGTCATCCGGAATTGTGATGAACATCCTGGTTTTGCCCAAGCATCCTTCTGGGCCGCGCTGTTCAAGTCAAGTTGCTTCTTCTCGCTGCTGTATTCGGTGCGCGTGCAACCCAGCAATGCGCTGCAGGATTTTAGTTTATGGTTGCTTGCCCTGTCATTCTTAGGTCCTTCAAATGTCAAATTCATGAAAGGCTTTGCCTACAGCAACCAACCGTTGAGCATGCCCCCTCCACAAATCGGAAGGGTACATCGCGTACAGCGCGTGATTCGCGTTTGCCTCTTCTGTGGCACTCACGCTCTTCAGTCCCACATGCAACTTGTTTTTGAACAAACGGTGCTGCAGGATCTGTGTGGATAAAAAGGTATCTATATATGTTGTTGATTTGCGTGCTTTGAACGATTCCCCTTTGTCACCTTATCACCCCCGCGATCCCTTGCGCAAATTGGCAAGGCGGGACCGCTGGCGTCAAACTTGCGAGATTGCCATGTTACCGTGTTCTTATACAGGAGTGTGAACGCTCACAGCGATTGTTGGCCGATTTTCTGGGGGAAATTGTTCTTCAGGAGCTGCCAGAGAGAATTCGCTTGTGGAGCTTGTTGTGCGATAGCTTGCAAGGGTTGGCGGGCTCTAGTTTGCAGAATTTCCCTTGCACATACTTGCAGTGTTTTTGGGGCCTAGTTTGCCAAATTTGCTACAGATTGGCTTGCGGAGATGATTGGGCGGTAGCTTGCGGAATTTCGATCATCTGTGAACTTGCAAGGGGGTTGGCGTCTCTGGCAGGGAGTGTTGGGGTCCAGCTTGCGCAGAGTCCTTGGAGCATGCAGGTTTGACTCTGGCTTCTGCCATGTCCCAAGCTGGTTTGAAGAGATTCTTGCATGCTCTTCCCCACGGAATCTCTTGCGCTTTAGCTTGCAGGGATTGTTGGGTTCTGGCTTGCAGAATTTCTTTTGCGGAAGCTCCTAGGGATTGTTGAACTTCGCCTTGCGGATTATCCGCTCGCAAGCTTGCAGGCGTTGTTGCATGGTGTTTGGCTTGGGCAATTTTTATCGGGGGGGTGGCCAGGAGTGGTTGAGTTTTGGCTCGCTTGGCTTGCTGGGCTTTCTGTGCGCTCGCTTGCAGATCTTTGCGCAGCTTTCTGTGTGTGAGCCTGCCTGCGCTGCGGAAATGTTTGATGTTAGCTTGCAGGGAGTTTGGGGATCTAGTTTGCACAAGTTCCTGAGCATTGCCGTGCAGAGGTTGCTTGGGAGTCTAGCTTGTGGAATCCCTGTACTGCCAGCAATTTGCAAAAGCTAATGCCAAGCAGTGTCCGCAAGCTAGACCAAAATAGCTCTGCGAATAAGCCCTGCCAGCTCACGAAGATTTCTGCAGCTAGACCCCAACAATCCCTGTAGCAATGCGCTAAAAAGTCCGTAAGCTAGCGGGAAATGCCTGCAAACTTGCACCCGGAATTCAACAATGTCTGCAAGCTCACGCTGTGCTACTTGCAGGAGTTGCTGGCTAATTGTCTGTGAGGAATGTGGGGCTCTTCTTTGCGGAGCTTTTTGCGCAGTAGTTTCGGGCTGTTGCGCAATGAGTTTTGTGACGAGTCATTTTGTGACGAGTTCGGGTGGCGCACCCCTTTTGTGACGAGTTGAGCTGTTGCACCCCCGGTTTTGTGACGAGTTCGGCCGTCAGACCCAGATTTTGTGACGAGTTCGGCTGTCACACCCTGATTTTGTGACGGATGTCATTGTCATTCTTCACAAAATGTGCGGGGCAATTTCTGCGCTAAGTTTGGCCGGGTTAGGGCCAGGTGGTTTGTGACGAATGTCATTGACATTCTTCACAGAGCGCGCAACAAGCGGGCCGGACTTCTCGGCAGACCAAATAAAGTGATTTCTGGTTGTTTTGTGACGAATGTCATTGTCATCCTTCACAAATCTGCCGCCCCCGTGGGCATTCAGGTTTGTGAAAGAAAGGCCTCTCAGAAAAAAAAGGCTTCTCAGAAATTTGGCTCATGAAGCCAAATATTCCGTCACAAACTCCGGGTGTGACAGCCGAACTAATCGCAAAAGAGTGCTGCGACGGCCTAACTCATCACCAAATCCGGGGTGCGCCATCCGAACTGGTCACAAAATTCGTTGCGCGACAGCCCGCAAACTACTGCAAAAAAGAATCCACAAAGAAGAGCCCAACATTCCCCACACACACACACACGCACACACACACACACACACGCGCACACACACACACGCACACACACGCACCGCATAGGATCCAGCAACTCTGCGAGTAGCACAGCGTGAGCTTGCAGACATTGTTGAATTCCGGGTGCAAGTTTGCAGGCATTTCCCGCTAGCTTACGGACTTTTTAGCGCATTGCCAGGGATTGTTGGGGTCTAGCTGCAGAAATCTTCGTGAGCTGGCAGGGCTTATTCGCAGAGCTATTTTGGTCTAGCTTGCGGACACTGCTTGGCATTAGCACAAGCTAGACTCCCAAGCAACCTCTGCATGGCAATGCTCAGGAAATTGTGCAAACTAGATCCCCAAACTCCCTGCAAGCTAACATCAAACATTTCCGCGTCGCAGGCAGGCTCACACACAGGAAGCTGCGCAAAGATCTGCAAGCGATCGCACAGAAAGCCCAGCAAGCCAGGCAAGCCAAAACTCAACCACTCTGGCCAGCTAGACCAATAAGAATTGCCTAAGCCAAACAACACGCAACAACGCCTGCAAGCTTGCGAGCGGATAATCCACAAAGTGAAATTCAACAATCCCTAGAAGCTTCCGCGAAGGAAATTCTGCAAGCCAGAACCCAACAATCCCTGCAAGCTAAAGCGCAAGAGATTCCGTGGGGAAGAGCATGCAAGAATCTCTTCAAACCAGCTTGGGACATGGCAGAAGCCAGAGTCAAACCTGCATGCTCCAAGGACTCTGTGCAAGCTGGACCCCAACACTCCCTGCCAGAGATGCCAACAACCTTGCAAGTTCACAGATGATCGAAATTCCGCAAACTACCGCCCAATCATCTCCGCAAGCTAATCTGTAGCAAATTTGGCAAATAAGGCCCCAAAAGCACTGCAAGTATGTGCAAGGGAAATTCTGCAAACTAGAGCCCGCCAACCCTTGCAAGCTATCGCACAGGAAGCTCCACAAGTAAATCCTCCCAGGCAGCTCCTGAAGAACAATTTCCTCCATAAAATCGGCCAACAATCGCTGTGAGCGTTCACACTCCTGTATAAGAACACGGTTACATGGCAATCTCGCAAGTTTGACGCCAGCGGTCCCGCCTTGCCAATTTGCGCAAGGGATCGCGGGGGTGATAAGGTGACAAAGGGGAATCGTTCAAAGCGCGCAAATCAACAACATATACAGATACCTTTTTATCCACACATGATCCTGCAGCACCGTTTGTTCAAAAACAAGTTGCATGTGGGACTGAAGAGCGTGAGTGCCACAGAAGAGGCAAACGCGAATCACGCGCTGTACGCGATGTACCCTTCCGATTTGTGGAGGGGGCATGCTCAACGGTTGGTTGCTGTAGGCAAAACGTCGCCTTTGCAGGACTTAAGAATGACGGGGTCCGTACAGGCAAACGTAAGCCCAAAAATCACGCTGCAACGCATTGGTGGGTCGCACAGCCGCATTGCGCTGGAAAACGTGGCCTAGGCACACCGAAAAACGCAGCGAGAAAAACCACTTGACTTTTGACTTGAACAAAGCAGCCCGGAAGGATGCCTGGTCAAAACATTTTCGTCATCTCAATTCCGGAAGACTGGCGCGATATAATAAATCAGTTGCGTCATTCCGGAGAGCTAGAATCTTCAGACCTTGCTCGCCGTGGAACTCGCAACTGCGCAATGCCTTGGCACCAGCGCTGCGCGCGCAAACGCCACTCATTTGTGTGGCCACAGCAGCATCGCTGGGGCGATATTTCTGTTAACAAAGCAAAACCCTAGATGCAAAGCAAAACCCCGGATAGCCGGAATCATAAATCGGTGTCAATTCAGAGTCCTAACCGAATTTCTTAATATCATAGAATGCTAACCCCCCCCTTCCTGGTCCAAAGCGGCCGCCACCTCGAATCGGAACCGGAAAAAGGCTCGAATCGGAACGCGTGCATCGATCCTAAATCTTCCCCAAATCGGAGCGCGCCTTTCTGGGGTGCTGCTTTCGTGGCTTTCTGGTTTTCTGGTTTCCTGGTTTCCTGGCTGCCTGGTCTGGTTTCCTAGTTTTCCGGTTTCCTGGTTTTTTGGTTGGTTTTCTGGTTCTTTGCTGGTTTCTTGGTTTTCTGGTTTCGTGGTTTGTCTGTTTTTTCCGGGTTTTTCTCGTTTTCTGGTTTTCCGATGTTCTAGTTTTCTGGTTTTCTGGTTTCTTGGTTTTTCGGTTTTCTTGTTCTCTGGTTGTTCTGGTTTCCTGGTTTTCTGGTTCCCGGTTTTCCGTTTTTTTCTCTAGTTTTTTGGTTTTCTGGTTTTCTTGTTTTTTGGTTTTCTGGTTTTTCTGCTTTTCTAGTTTTCTGGTTTTCTGGTTGCCTGGTTTTTTGTTTTTTTTTTCTTCTTGTTTTTCTGGTTTTCGGGTTTGTCTGTTTTTCCTGGTTTTTCTGGTTTCCTGGTTTCCTGGTTTTGTGTTTGGCTGGTTTTCCGGTTTTTCGGTTTCCGGGTTTGTCTGGTTTGCTGGTGTTTGGTTGTCCGGTTTTCTGGTTTTTTGGTTTTTGTTGTTTTCTTTTTTTCGTCCGGGTTTTCTGGTTTTCTTGCTTTCTTGGTTTGCGGTTTTTCTGTTTTCTGGTTTCGGGTGTCTTAGGATTTGCGGCTTTCGCGGTTTCTTGTTTTTTGGTTTCGGGTTTTCGGTCTTTGTCGGCTTTCTGGTTTTATGTTCTTCTTGTTTTCTGGTTTTCCGGCTGCCTAGTTTTTAGGTTCTCTGCAGTCCTGGTTTTATGGTTTTCCAGTGTGTTGATTTCCTAGCTATCTTTTTATCACTGATTTCCGGCTTCCTGGTTTCACGGTGTCCTGATTTCCTGTTTCTGTTTGATTGCCGTTGGCAGCATCATCCTTAAAAATCAACACTTTTCGGAACATAATGGGGGGCTGCCCCCCCCCCCCCCCCCCGCTGCTTTTCGGAACATTTCGGAACATTATGCGGGGGGCTGCCGCCCGCCCCCCCCCCCCCCCGCGTTGCTTTTCAGATTTTGGCGCAAAAATCAATACTTTTCGGAACATTATACGGGGGGCTGCCGCAACCCCCCCGCTGCTCCTTACATTTCGGCGCATCATCCGGAAAAAACAAACAACACTTTTCGGAACATCATGGGGGGGGCTGCCGCCCCCCGCTGCTTTTTAGATTTCGGCGCATCATCCTGGAAGTCAACGCATTTCGGAACAAGAAGTGTGCAAGGTTGCAAAAAAGTTGCCCTTGTAGGTGCTACGAAGCCTGCGTTGCTATACAGGTTCTAGTTGAATTTAGTTATTTACAACGCAGTCAAAAAAGCTGCGCTGCAGAGGTCTACTTCAGATGTTGCGTGTGTTCCAAATTGAGAACTGCCTGTGTTCCAGATTGAGCTATTTTTGGGTTCCAATTTGAGGTGCTTTTCAGGTTCCAATTCAAGATCCGTGCCTCCAAAGCTCCCCCCCAAAAAAATATGAGATCCAAATTTGCTTAGTCGGGGCCCCAGCATGTTAAGGGGAATAGGCCTGGCTGCAGCGCACAGGCAAGCCACCGTGGTGAAGCTATTTGGGGCCCTTTTGAGCTGCTCCACACATTCCATGGCGCATACGGACGCACTCCGGATCTATTGCTGGCGCATGCCTTTTTGTTTTAGCTTTCTTAAAATCAGTCTTGCGAACCTATAACAAAGTATTGACTGCACCAAGTTCAGTTTTCTTG